GATTGATACAATGTGTCCTAATCCAGTTTATATGGATTAGGACAAGTGTTTGAAAGAGTTCAGGGCCTTATTTAAGAAAAAGCCTCCAAATGAAGAATTTCCAATTTTATACAATTGGAAATAAGTCAGAAAATACACAATAATGTTTAAGCCCCACTGTCCCTGCCAATAATTTCCAAAAAATGGGAGAAAGCAGAAATTATCTAGCTGCATAATTTGCATTATTTTTCATAGTGACAATGAACTTTAAATGCATCTCTGTCTAAAAATGTCCCTTGTTGGCTATAGTTGCACAAGCATCTGAAAATATAAAGCAAAGCAAAACAGCTTAGCTAGGATACCCCTACTTTAAATCAAGGGTTGAAGTTGTATTACCTCCAGCTGTATTGAAACTACAGGGGTCATTGAGTCTATCTCCCTGCACACTACTGGATTCCTTATATAATTTCCCATATATTATCAAGTTTCTTTGAAAACCTCCAACGAAAGGAAAGGAACCACCCTCTGTGTGATAACTTCTTCCACTGGCTGACAGCTTACTCTTACTTTGGCAGCATAACTTCCAGAATTACCAGGCACAGGGTACTATCTGTTTGGGGACATCATATTTGAGAAGAATCAATAATTTCCTACATTGGAGTGAGGCTACCAGGAAGAAGGATGATAAAAAGGGGACCAATGATTCCTAGTGTAGAGATGGCTTTTATGTAAAGATAACTCAGTGGCATCCCAAGGTCACCAAGGAACCAGCAATTTATTTAGAAAGATGGGAGGAAATAGCCTAGAGTTAAAAATCTGAATCATAAATATATAGGTTTCTGAGGTCTTTACATGTAGTGGACAAGCAACAATTGTACCTGATGTTTCATTCTTGTTTATAATAAGAGTTCTAATGAAACAGAGTCTTATCTGGGAATCTTCTGTCAGATGTGCTTGAAAGCTAAATTAAAGGTTAAGTATCTGGAGACCTGTGTTATACTGCTCAGCCATGGTATAAAACCTGACAGCTCTTGTTTCAATGCTACTCTCAAGCGTTCATTGATATAGTATTAAAGTGAGGGCGAAAATGTTCACTCATGGCATTACTACTTTATTTAATAATTGAATTTTAAAATGCACACTGTACCTCCTTCATTTTCACTCCCTGTTCCCTTTCTCCTGGTCTAATTTTTCAAATAGCACGCTTCTTCCCCCCCCCCTTTTCTCCTTTTTTTTAAAACACACAGACAAACATGCAATACATCTTTCCGAAACAGAGCATTGATCCGGTCATAAATTTGTTCAGCTTTTTGTTCCATCTTTAACACAATTTTATATATTCTATTTTTGCCATAACATTTATTTCTTAATCTTAGCTCACATATCTCAACTATTACCATCTTATAGTAAGCTTACTCATATTAACATAATCAAAACAATTACCCTTCTTTTAATCCATCTTAAATCTTAATTCAAATAATACCTCATGATACAATTCATAATTCTTACCCTAAATTCTCACTAATAACAATACAGTTCAAACATATTTATATTTCTGAATCATATTTCAATTTCTAAAACTTCCTTATATTTTATTATTACTTCATATACTATTCATTAATTCTTTATTTAATTATTACTTCATCAAATTTAAATCTTATCTCTAATCTTAAAAATATACCAATTTAACAATTAAACACTCCCTGTTCCCTTTCTCCTGGTCTAATTTTTCAAATAGCACATGTTTCTATGTTAAACTGAAAGTTTTAATCCTAAATACAGGAAGCAATCTTTTTGTGTTATAATTGTTCTATCAAAATTTGAAAAAATAACAAATGGGACAGATGAAGTGGTAGAATACTGTTTTTTATATAGAAGATCCTAGGCTGAACCCTTGATATCTCCAGAAGGACTGAAAAAATTCAGTATAAGGAAAATAATATATTCTATTTTTTAAACTAGGCAACTGTATTTTGAATCATCTTAGTAACTAGTGGTGGTATTCAGCTGATTCTATCCGGTTTGGGAGAACCTTTAGCGGCACCTGCGGGAGGCTCCGCCCACCCGCCCAGATGTCATCAAGTCCCGTTTTTGATGCTCTGTGCATGCACAGAAGGTCCTGAGCATGCACAGAGGTGTTGTGAGCCAGCAAAGCGAACATTTGTGAAATGGTAGAGAAGGTAAGTGAATACCACAGTGGGGTGCATCTGTGACCTTCAATACTTTCTGCACTGAGTAAAGTCATATTTCTCTCTGCTGAAATTTAAATCCAAGTACTGTGCTATATGAAAGGGGGAGAAGGATTTTTGCTTTCCCTACAAAGATAATCATCTGATAAAGCTCTGTCATGTTTCTATTCATATTTATTAAGAATTCTAAGCCTAAATGCTTTAAACGTGTAAGTTTTCCTAAATAAGTAATGATGCTCAGTTTCTAGCCTTTTCCTTGTTGTTCCTGACCTCACTATTCATATTCTAGGCAGATATCAAAAGCTTTTAGGCATGATTATTCCTGTTCTCTCTCAACATCTGAGATGTGCATGCAGCATTAACTGAATAAGTATAACACCTCCTTGTGTTCTCTGCTTTGTGTCTGAAGGCAAACATTCATGTGACAAATGTAGCACAGTTCTTGAGCAAATGTTTAAAGAGTTTCTTGCACAACAGAGATGAGCAAACAGTCACATGGTGACTATTCACATGGTGGGAGAGAACACATTGCAGAAAATGTGCCAGCATCAAGTACTTTAAATTGCCTTTGTGCAACCAAGAATAAGTGACATGAAAACAATGTTACTGCTGTCTTTTTTAGCATGCAGGATGACATGAGCTTCTAAAAGCATACAGGATGAGATGAACATTTAAAAGTCAATCAAAAGTAACAGAAAGATGCTATTGAAAGAACAGTAAGCTGCCAGTGTCCAACCTTTCCTCTAAAATTAGATAGTGTTGTAAGTGAAGTGGCCAAGCTTGCTGGACAAAGGTATTTCAATTCTTTGATGCCTCTTTTTCGCCCTCATTGTCCCTAGTTTTTGGAAATGTCTTTTAAAAATGTTGCTTGCAGTTTCAAACACGTTACTGGTGTCATTATCATTATGTTTATGTTTCTATATTGCTCTTTCTCCCAAGGGAGCCTGAACTGATATAGACTATAAACAAACAAGAAGATCAAAACAATAAACAGTAAAATTTCTATAAAATGAAACAATGGGAGGAGAACAATAACTCAGACTTCACTTAGGCAATCCGAAAGGCAGTTTCATTCTGGGACAGTGGTTATCTTGCAACAGTTTGTCTGGGTAAATCAACAGATTTTTTTTTAAAAAAATGAGTGGTAGGCCTACCATATTTGAAAGAATAATAATAATGCAGAATACACAGTATCACTAACAGTATAGCAGAACAGGAAAATGCATTTATTTCTCTATGAAGATAAGGGTCTTGGATGTAAAAATTCCTTTAAATCTAATCCCTACAATTTTCAATAAAAGTGTATTTGTTGGACCTGCCACAACTTGAATCTCTAAAAAGAAATGATCCTTGGCTCCATTTGCTGAGATAGATATGGTTTTTATTAGAGATCAATTCTATTGCAGTATTGCATAACCAGAATTGAGAATCGTGGGCCAAAATCCCTAACTTCTACTTTTCCCTCCCTTAACTGGCTCTCATTGCCCACCCCATTGTAACCAATCAGAATCAGTCAAGATGTTTTCATAATGGTCAGTCCAGGCACCGTTTGGTATGTGACTCCCTCCTTCTTTCTGCTGGGTCATCTTGAGGCAGTGTCTCCAGGAGGTACAGCAGTAGTGGGTTGTCCCCAGTTCACACCGGTTCTATAGAACTGATAGTAAAACCAGCGGGAGGCTCCACCACCGACCCCCACCACCACTAAACGCTTCTGCGCATGCACAGAAGAGCGCGCGTGCGGCCCCGCTGCAAACCGGTAGTAAAGGTAAATAGAACCCACCCCTGAGGTACAGCACTTACTTTCATTTCCCCAAGCATCCTCCCCTTCATTTCCCCTCCACACAGTTCATGACAGTCTGTCACCGCATAGCAATGAAGCACAAGAAAGCATAAGGTGACAGCTGACAGTTGAATACATTGTTGCTAGTCTGAATAGATAATATTAGAGGGCTAAATGAATATAATGATGTTGTTATTAGTCCAATTTCAATTGTTTTTCCAAATTAACTACCTATTGGTGCAGTATTTATTTAAAAACGAGTTTTAAGAAACCATTTCCTCCAGAAATGCATTAAGTAACCACTATATGTTTATACTGTATATATTCAAATTACACTGCAAGAAAATGACAAGGAAATCTCCCTATTTTTATTTGTGAACTGTTGGTAGGTTAGTCAATCTTGCCACAGATTCTCTCCTGCCCAGAATCACATTTTTTAAACTGGGTGGTCCTATAAATCCAGAAATGCTAATTAAAATGTTTCATGCCAGTTTCTCCATAAATAGCTTTCAGATAATTCCAAATCTTCAGAAAATTCACCAAAGAGTTTTATTTTATGAGAATATTTCTGAAATATTTCTTTTTTTCACTCTTCTGAAAAAAGAGGGCAATTTTCTCCACCAGTTTTTTTTAATTCTTGAAATAGCTTCCATCTCTCACCCCAATAACACATTGTGGAAAATGCCAGATAATAATCCAGCTGCCAATAGAATTTTTCACAGCAAAATCTGTTGGAAAACAAAGAAAGAAATGGTGCCATGGCCTCTGTTAACGGGAAGTCCCATCTCTTAAAAAGGATTGAAGAATTTCTGCTCTGTCTAGAACAAAAGGGCAAAACAGTATGTCCAATTCAACTGCACACAAATGATATAAAGTATTTTGAGAGGCTAGTTGCATACAAATCTTTCTACCCAAAAGGTTGTTTCAACAATTACCACAATAATATATGTGAAACAGAAACTTTCTATAATCTCAAACATTAATTAATTTCCCTTTAATATTATAGAGGGAGATTTCACCTTGGAGCCCTTTTAATATGAAATGATATAAAATCACAATTTGCCATTATATAAGGAGGCTAAGGTCATGAAACATGTTTTTTTTTTCTTTTTACAACCCTGTAGTCCCTTAATTCAAGGTATAGCCCAGATGACTGGATGGAGCTGAGAGTTTACTGCCTGGAGGCCCTTCCTGATGCCTATGTGGAGTTTGCTGCAGATATTTTTTTCTGCCCTAAGAGAGAAACATCTGTTGCTACCTAGGATTGAGCTCTCAACCTTCCAAGTGGAGCATCTTCACTACTGGCCCACCACATCAAAGGTAATAAAACATTTAAGAAGTAGAAAATAAAGGGGAGCGGGATGGAACAAAAGCAAAGGAAAAAGGACTAAGGAAACAGCAAGATGATTGTGCTGAAACATCATACAAATTGGATTTCAGAAACAATCAATATGGGTATTTTAAATTAGGTTGAATATACCAAATAGTTATTTTAATGAGAGATTATTGCTTGCTGCAGAACTGTCTCCTGTTACAACCTGTCTAAGTATTCAGGTCTGCAGTACAGGCTATTTTGACAACGTTGTCCATGTTGTCAGCAATATAGCTTTATGGCCAGCATGAGAAGGCCATCCCTCAAGTTGCTATAGGGCTATGGAGTATTCCCCTTAGAAGTGGTCCTTCACCTTGTTCTATCAGCATTTGGAAATTCTGTTAAGCTTTGCCCTACTTTTAATTGTTAATTAGTTTTAATGTTTTTGATTGATCATATGCTATCAGGACTGTTAGTAATCACATAGATTGTTTCCATGAAGCTTTAATCTTAGTTTTAATTTGTAATCTTTACGCTTTGTGTTGCAATTTTGTAGCTGTGTTGAGTAGACATCAGGGTTTAAACAGAAAAAAGAAATAGTTTGCTAACATGAACTTCTTTTATGCCATCAACTTTCTCTTATAAGGATGCATTTTTCTTCTCTTCTTATCTTGTTGATTTAAGGTATACATGATCTATATTTTTCATATACAGAAATGTAAAAAGGATAAAAGAAAAAAGTTAAAAACTCACCTAAAATACAAAAAAAAGAGGTAGGGGGAGAAGAGAAGATTAGAAATTCAAACATTTTCCTTTTCATTGCTGATTGTTTTCTCTATAGCAAAAGTATACCCTATTTCCCCGAAATAAGACATCTTCTGATAATAAGCCTAATCAGGCTTTTGAGCACATGTGCTAAAATAAGCTGCCCCCCCAAAATAAGCCCTCCCTGAAAATATTTAAATGCAGAGCTGGAAATCAGGTAAGACTGCAAGAGGAGCCCCATCTTGCTCCACATGCCTCAAAAATAAGACCTAGAATACAATACAATACAATAACAGAGTTGGAAGGGACCTTGGAGGTCTTCTAGTCCAACCCCCTATCCAGGCAGGAAACCCTACACCACTTCAGACAAATGGTTATCCAACATCTTCTTAAAAATTTCCAGTGTTGGAGCATTCACAACTTCTGCAGGCAAGTTGTTCCACTTATTAATTGTTCTAACTGTCAGAAAATTTCTCCTTTGTTCTAAATTGCTTTTCTCCTTGATTAGTTTCCACCCATTGCTTCTTGTTCTACCCTCAGGTGCTTTGAAGAATAGTTTGACTCCCTCTTCTTTGTGGCAGCCCCTGAGGTATTGGAACACTGCTATCATGTCTCCCCTTGTCCTTCTCTTTATTAAGGCCAAGCGCTTATTTCGGGGTTCAAAAAAATATAAGACAGGGTCTTATTTTCGAGGAAATACAGTATATATTTATTCTTTCCTGAATATTGTGTGTGTGTGTGTATGTGTGCACCCCTGCAGGTGTGAAATGAAGTTCTTTAAAATAGAAGATGTATAGCTGTGTTTTTAGAATTTGAGGAAATGATCACTATGAAATTTTCATGTCTTGTTTGTTATTGAACAGACTAAGAATCTCTTGCTATTACAGAGGGTATCGTTTCTGGGATGCTTTACCAGTATCAAAGCAACAAAGAATTCTGTGATACTGTTAAAAAAAAATCCAACAACAACCAAGTATCTTGGTATGATTGTCTAAGCAATAGCTGTCAGACATGTGAACTTGAAGTCTGCTGAGAGAGGCTCTTGTCTGTTAAAAAGCTTGTGTCAGAATACCTCTTTTCTCTTATCGTTCAGTTTATGTTGGGGGGGGGAGAGATCTGTGAACTGCTTTTTCAGGGCACATTGCCCTGGCAGGATTGTGTACTAATGCAATACAGCTTGGAAGGAAGGAGGAGAAGGATGGGAAGAAGAATCCAGGCATCCATGGGTGGGCAAGTACTAAAAGATGTGTCACAACAACTTGACACAAGCTTGGTCCTTTATATATCTTCAAATATATGAGTGGATCTTGCATTTGATGACACAATACATGTTTCATTATTCTGGCATCACTGTGGTTAGAAAGAATGCCTGTGCGTGATAACAGGAGAAGATAGGTATTTTCCCTTGCCTTCTTCTGGAATATTAGATGAAATTGCAAAGTAGTTTAATGTTCTAGAAATTTCTGGCAGTTTGGACTAGACTAGGGAGGCAGGGAAAGGCTAAAAGATAATTGACTTAAAAAAATAAGACTATAGGCTTCAAATGTTGTGATGAGAGTAGACTATATTTCAGCAGATATATCTGGCTAGTGGATCCAAGGATTCTGAACCAATCTATTTGTGTCAGGATTGTTTTATTTTTTCAGAGTTATACTGTTGAACATAAAAAGTGAATAGAAACCTTTCTGTGCTTTAACTTATCAGTTTTGTTTTTTGCAAATATTGATGTTAAAATTAATTTTAATATGCATAGATTTCTTTGCTGTTGGCCCTATTGTGATTGCCATTCTGGCAAGTCAAAATAAATAAATGTTACACCCTGTAGTTAAGACAGGCTGCCCACACCTACAAAATAAATTATAATCCACCCAGCCTCTCTGCCATATCATTCCACTCTCACCTTTCCACTGAGTCCCTTTTTGGATTTACTCACAGCATAAGCCTCTCCCACCCAATGAAGTTGTCCTTCTAACAGTACTTTGATGGTGCTACTCAGTTCTGATGGTGAGAAGAATGCATACTCAATATGTCCGCATGCGTAATCTACTTCTGTTAAAGGAACCACCTGAGTAGCTTGGAAGGCCCTATCATAGAGGATAGCTGTTTCATTTGACAGGAGATGAAGCTCACCAGTTACTGGAATTTCTGAAAATAGAATTTGGCCCAGAGAAGAAAACAAAACAAATATAAACCCTTGTCCTGATTACATTCTACATATGACTAAAACTCTGCTTGAGGAAATTGGTGTATCCCACCCTCAGCCGGTGTGTTTGTCAAAAAATTCACATCCTTTCATTTTATGTTTGTTTCCTTGAATTGTGCTATCCCAGCTCTATGTCTTCACTCATTAACTATTAACATTAAAAGTGTTATTCTAACAGTGACCTTGCCTTTATCACTGCTGGTGCTTCCCCAGCCCCTCAAGGTTAGGAATGTTCTATGGCATCCAGTGAAGTGGAAAGAGGCCAGAATGAAATGTTCTTGCTTTTTTTTTTTTTCTGCAGCCTTTACCTGAGACACTGCAAGCAGGAAATTTTGTTTTCAATTGTGCATCTATTTAATTCTCAAGAAAAGGCATGCAATTGTTGAAATTTATTTAGTTAGGTTTTTTGATGTTCAGAGCAGGAAGGAGAGAATATATTGCATGTCTAATATTAACTGTTTTCTGTCAGCTTGTACCGTTCTGTCTTCGAAAACTGCATTATCAAAGCATTTTACAGTTAGATATAATCACTGAAATATCAAGATATAGGGGTTGCATCTGTATTTGTATTCCTTGGCTCTTTCAGAGGGCCTTGTGGATGGTATAGAAGGCTGATCTTCCCTGAGGTATAAGGCATCAAATGGGAACTGTTGTGTTGCTGTATATGATCATCTGAAAACTGAGACAGCTTTGTTTAGTTATAATAGTCTGTAATAGAATAATTACAGATATTCTTCACTTGTTTGTAGATGTCCCAAAGCTGTTTTCTTTGAAAAGATAACTGGACTTCCTTGTTTTGCTTGAAGACATTTTGCTTCTGACCGAAGAAGCTTCTTTAGTTCTGACTGAATGGTGGAGAATGGAAGGATTGGTTGTCCATGACAACCATGACCTGGAAAACTGAGAATCTCCATAGACATTTGTTGGTGGATGGTGGATATTGTTTCCACCATAGATACCAACATTTTTGGCTTTATTACATTTTTGTCCTCTTCTAACAAATAAATATTTAGCTGTAATCAATATTTGGAAAGGCCATCTGCATTTTTAAAAAAGTGTTTTATACCTCAAGGCCATTTCTCAAACCCAGAGTAAGAAAAATGGAAGTGGAATGTTTCTGCAACTTTTCCCAATTGTGGGGCAGCGGGGTGTGTGTGTGTGTCCTTGCTGCTATCTGAGCTTGCTTGGTTTCTTTCAGATGCCTCATTACCCTAACTGGTAACATCATCACTGCTACTCCTACCTAGATAGGGTAATGAAACATCTGCAAGAAAACAAGTCAGAGAACATCAAGGAGCCCTCAATTCAGCTGAGCTACAAATATTCTCCTTTATTTTCTCCTTTATTTCGTTGCTATACTAATAATGCTGTAAGAAGAAAAGCAGCTGATGATAAGCAAGACCATCAGCTCAAAACAACAACTTGGTAGAACAACACATAAACAAAGTTTTTTGTGAAGACCAGTTGCTAGGCAAGATATTATCTCTAATAGACTGTACTAGGAAAAATGAATATATTAAATGAAAGTGTAGATATTTTGATTTGGTTTTCAATAATGAAGTAAAACTTGTCCATGGACAAAATCCATATGTCAATCCATGGTTTAGATTCCAAATGATAACTTGTAATTCCAGAATGCAGATAAACATCTAGCTTTGTTATCTGAAATCAGTAGTTTCATATTTGGGAATTAATATCCCAAATATGCTTCTTTGGTAACTACTTTGTAAAGAAATATGTTTGGTGCCATTCAAAATGATTGGATAACGTGGTCTAGCTTTCATGACAAGTCATAGTTTGGCCTGTTGTCGGAATCATCTCAATAAAATTATGATGGGAATGAATAGTTTAGTGTTAACAATACTATAATATGCTTACATATACAAAGTAATCAAAATTGACATATCCTTTATGCTGCTGTTGTTGGATAATTTCTATTTTGCTTTGTTTCTCTTCTTGTTTTTATGCTGATCCTTGATTAATTGATTGGGGCCTGTTTTTCTTATTCAATTTTCTCAGAAAAGTAAATGAAAAAAAATT